CACCAGAGCCCAGGAGGTCGATGCTGGGGTGGCTGTGAGTGTGCCACTGCACTCCAGCCTGGGTGACAGAATGAGACTTCAACTCAAAAAAAAAAAAAAAAAAATCCGCCTAATTAAACAGACTTTTTTCAGTAAATATCTGAACCTGTTCCTTAATTTGCAGTTTCAAAATAAACGTCGATTTACTCTCAGCTCTCTGCCTCTTGTCCCTAAATGGCCACAAAACAAAACAAACAAACAAACAAAAAACCCAGCCAACTTATTAAATACAACCAAAACAGGAAGGCTAAGGAGGATTGCTGGAGCCCAGGAGTTCAACACCAGCTTAAGCAACACAGCCAGATTACATCTCTTAAAAAAAAAAAATTTCTAGTGGCAGCATTTTTCCAAATTACCAGGCCAGCCTGGGCACAGTGGTTCACACCTGTAACCCTAGCAGTTTGGAAGCCCGAGGAGGGAGGATCGTTTGAGCCCAGGAGTCTGAGACCAGCCTGGGCAACATAGTGAGACCTTGTCTCTACAAAAGATGAAATGATTAGCCAGGCATGGTGGGGCACTCCTGAAGTCCCAGCTACTCAGGAAGCTGAGGCAGAAGGATCTCCTGAGCCCAGGAGGTCAAGGCTGTGGTGAGCCGTTATCATGCCACTGCACTCCAGGCTGGGCAACAGAGACCCCAACTCAAAAAGAAAAATTCCAAATGACCAGGCCAGATCCCACACCCAGTTACTCCTGCTGAGTCTGCCCCACAGATACTTTAGCGGCTGGGTGGAAGGCAAGCGTCCAGGGTTACCTGCCACAGCAACATCATGGGGAATGGCAAAGACTGGAAATGACCACAGAACACCAGGAGGGCATGCATGCATGCTGAGAACTCTGTCTCACTCCGTCATCCAGGCTGGAGCGCAGTCGTGCAGTCACACCTCACTGCAGCCTCAAACTCCTGAGCTCAAGCGATTCTCTTGCCTCAGCCTCCTGAGTAGCTGGGACTATAGGCACACACCACTACTCCAGGTTAATTTTTTTTTTTTTTT